ACAGATCTGTGGAAACCTGCGCTTAGTCACCTGCGCTTGTCCCCATTTAGCCCGGCGTTCTTACAGGTCCAGGCTTGTTTCGAGGGGTAAAGGTGCCCAGGGAAGGGACGGTCAGGGATCCGCTGCTCTCCAGCCCTCTCTGTGCTCTGAGGGAGATGAGCTCTCTTAATACACAACATTTTCTGCTCCAGCACATCCAAGGGCAGCTGTCCTACAGGCCCCTTCTCCCCCCTGCCCACCCCCCAGGCTTCAGCAATCCCAGACAGCCACAGGGGCGAGGGGTGCTAGGAAGCCCCACCCGAATTTTCAACCTCGCTCACAGAGCCATGGAGCACGAGTTTGCCTCTGCTCCCCGCAGCGGTGCCTGGCTGCTCTTCACCAGCAAAACAATCACACAGGAAACAAAGACAATTCAACACAGGAAAGTGCTTTGAACAGGGGAGGCTCGGAGAAACAAGCCTCTCCAGCAGCGAGGAGTCCCGTTTCACAGTCTCTATCATTCTTGGAGGAAGCCTGCTGTGGTTCTCAATCCCAGGGCTGCCTCTTGGCTGTCACGTCCCACCTTCAAGGCACTAGTCTCCACAGGCTGGCAGAGACGCGCTGAGGAGCCAGAGCTGCTGTTGCTGGCTAGCTTTCCCAAAGGCTTCACACCACGAGAGAGCTGTGGAAGACGACACTCTCCTCTGGTTGGCCGCGCTTCCAGTGTTCGTAATTCAGTGAAGGAGACTTGGACACCTCGCTGAAGCTATCTACTGCAGCGTCCTTCCGCACCCCAAGGAACGGGGTGGGGGCTGTGGGCTGGCAGGATGTAAATGTGCCCGTGCCAGGGCTGGAAGAAGCTGGAAAGCCCCTGAAGAGGAAACCCACGTTTGGGAAGAGAGGCTTCACCAGGCTGACAGGGCAGAAGGCAGAACCGGTGGGGTTGAAGTGCACTTTGTTCTTATCCGGGCAGGAAGGCTGAAAAGTCTGATCGGGGCTGGGGGAGCTGAAGGAGAGAGACAGAGTGGACACGATTAGGGACAGACACTGCCAAGGGCACCGAGCAGCCGGTGCCTGCAGCCACAGGGAGAACGCCGGGAGTTGTGCACTCTTCAAAGAGCCTGACCAAAAGCTGAACTGCCTCTGTGAGCTGGACGGCTCTTCAGGTACAGAGCGGCATGAAGAGCCTGTTTTGTTTTGAAAGCATGCTTGTTTTTAGGGGAACCACCTCTTCTCCTCAAGAGGCTCTGCGGGCTGAGAAACCCACTGCCTGGGAAGGGCAAGGAATCGCAAGATCCTTCCGAGCGTGCCCGAGGGTTACAATTCAGCTTTCAGCTCTTCCTACCAGGACCTGAGCAGCCACGTTTTTGTCGGGAGCGTTTTCCGAGAGGCTGCTCCCTACTTTTAGAACAGGGTAGGGGTGGAAATTGCAGCACTAGAAGCCTCAGCTGCCCCCACCCCAGCATCCTCCTGCAGGACCAACCTCACACAAGTTCTCTTCTGCCAACCACTCCTCCTACTTACGAAGCTTCTTCAAAGGCCCGGACCTTCTCACATCCCTCAGGAGGTTCCCGTTTAAACATGTAGCTGTGGTTGGGCCGAGGAGAAGAAGCAAAGGCCAGGACTGGTGAAGGGCTGCCCTCCTCTAGCAGGGAAGAAAAGATAAGATTTTGAGAAGTTTTTAAAAGAATCCAACAATGCTCTTCAACTCAACCCCAGACATGCTCTTCTAGACCCTGGGGCTGCAGGCTACAATACCCCAAAGCTGCAGCATTTTATCTGCGTAGTTCCCAGCTCACATCCTCCATCTAGTACTGGAAACCACCCACAGTAATTACTGGAGCTTTAGAAGTCCACCACAGTTTAGCCAAATTGGCTGAGACCCTCTCTCCCATCTCAGCTGCAGCTTCCAACCCAGCACGCAGACAGGGAGGAGCCGCTGCACCGGCCCCCTTCGTCTCCCAGCCCCTCTGCTTTCAGTGTTTACCTTTCTCCTTCGGATCTGGCTGCACCTCATCTGCCGCAGAGGAGGGCTCTTCTGCTGCCAGTCTCACCGGGGTGTGTGGAGAAAGGTGGAGAGGCACGGAAGGGGAAGGAGAAAGAAAAAAAAACCCCTGCCACTTCTGGGCTCCAGAGTCAGGGACGCATCTCCAGAGCCTCTCTGGGCAGGCGCTGGTGCCCTGTGGCCGTCTGGGACATCCAGTATCTAGGGAAGAAGCAAAGTCTTAGAGGAGCAAGAAACCCGTCACCAGTGAAAAGGTTTAACAGCAGTTGCAGCTACAGATAGCAGCTTCTTGGGGTGCTGGAACCAGGTACAGGCAGACCCTCCACTTCAGGGAGCGCGGCAGCCTTCTGCAACCAGAAGGGCATCGGCCCTTCTGTATCCTGTAATGCTCTTTAGTTCATAAGCTGTCTGGGATCACTTCTCCCACATCTGCACAGTACAAAGTAGCCTTTGGATGCCAGTCTAAGATAACGTCTTAGAGCTGTCAGTGAGGTGTCATCTCTCTGGCTGATCTCTCAGCACCAGCAAGTTTTAAGGAGGGAAGCCAGCAGCCACTTGACCCAGTTTAGACAGTTACATGCCTAGAACAAACTCAAACTAGGCACAGAGACCATCCCCATGGCCAAGAAACAGATACAGGCAGCGTCTTTAGAGGAAAGGATTTCCAAGACCACCCAGAAGATTCAGGGCACTCTTGTGACCTTCACTTACCCGCAAAAGCTCTTCATCTCCCTGTTCCTTCACAAACACTTCCTCCAGTTCCTGGTTTAGCCCTTCCAGGCTCCTATGCAAGCAGGGGCTGAGCCTCAAAATGGGAGATGGAGAAAGGAAGCCTGAAGGAGAGTCCTGAAACAATCCAGAATCAAAGAAGTTAGTTATATCTGCACAAACTCGGCAGTTACATCCTGTCCCCACAGCTCTCCAGGGCTCAGGCAAAGCCTTCCAGGAGGCTGACGGGAGAAGACTGACAGCAGAGTCATGTAAACTCACTAACCGCAGATCAAAGCACAGGGACACGTTGAAGTGGGAGAAGAGGAGGAAAAAATTCTCCCTTCTCAGGCATGAGAGCAGAAGTCTGAGAACAGCTTGGACACCTGCCCAAAGGAGTTTGCTCTCCACCTCACTAGGACATACGGTAACAGCAGAGCAGAGGGAGACGTGAACGTACCCTGAGCGATCCAAGGACAGCATGGTCCCCCTGGAGCGGGGAGCTCTTCTCCTTTTCTTTGCCACTTCTGCCATTTAGCTTTGTTCGCTGGAGCTGTTGCTTCAGTTTGGCAATCTAGCAAACAAAGTTTCAGCTACAGAACCAGACGAGCCAACACACCTCCACCAAAAAGTATCATGCCTTGTCTCTCTCCTCCCCCTCTCTTCCAACCCACAAGGAAGTGCCAAAATAGAGACGGTTTCAATCACACAAGCAGCAGCTCTGGCCACCTCTCAAAGGATGGACCAGAAGTACTCGCAAGGCCTCATCACAAACTCCCCCGCTGCAATGTGGCCAGTGCCGTTCCTCTAGCGGATCTGGGTTATCTTCCACCTACAGATCGTTAGGAACCAGGCCCCGCTGGGACCCACATACGCCACGACACCGACGAGCAATGCACTGAGTTTCAGTGGAGCTACTTTACAACAGCTGCCTGCTAGAGGAAGCCAACAAGATCAGTCTTTAGTTGAATCACAGAGCGTTAGGGATGAGAACAAGGGCTAAGGTCTCATTTTCAGCAGTATCCTGTCCTCCCACTCCCCTCCCATGCAAGCAGGAGCCTCCTATACATTAGCAACTAACACAGATCTTGCTCAAGCATTGGGAGTGGTCTATTTTACCTCTCTGCGGTGATCTGTGCTACCCCAAGAAGCAGAACGCTTGTGAGCACTGGAGCTGGCTTTCCCCACTTCCGCATCATGCCAGGACACTGGAGTCTGAAGTGATGAGAAACACGGCTGAGAATAATCACAACATTTACTGGTTTAGAGACTGGGGTCCTAAGAATAAGTGATCAACTACTGCCCATTCACAGTCCTATTCCAGTCTCCCCCCATTAATACACTACTCAGTAATGTGCATTAAGAGAGAGCCATCTATTTATATTTGCCAAAACAAAGTCATTTTGGCCAGATTTGTGCCTAGCGGGAAACTGGACCTCACAAACCAACATGGCAAGAGACCTGCCCAGAAGTCAGTAGCTTAACCACCACAAGTACCTGGCAAGATAAAGGGCACCAAACCACCAGAGAAACAACCGCAGCCACCCCCTGCACTGCTTGCACAGGCTCCCGTCTGATGAACGGTGACGTACAGTTTCAGGCACTCATTGTACGAAGAAGCATTACCGAGAGGAAAAGCCTCGCCCAACTGTGAGAACACACAACTTGCTTCTGAGACCTCAGGCTCCTGTATCGGAGTTCAAAGGCGTAACCAAAACCAGAGCTTGGCCTGCAGACTGACTGCTGCTGCTACCGCCGGAGCACTGGAAGAACCCAGCTGCCTCTCCAGCTCACATGCCTCCATCTGCAGGGCTGGCAGTTCTCAGCTGACTCTCTTCATGCAGAAAAACAGCCTCAGCACCACGTTACACAGCTGTTTTCCAAGCAACAGCTACACTTTTGAGTATCAATGGAAATCAGAAAGGGCTGTTAATCTGATCAGCAAAGGGTGTGAACTTCCTTCCACTGAACTCAGCCCTCCCAGCGGAGACTCCAGGATCGGAACAGTCCCAACGCACATCATTTTCAAGACCAGCCATCATTTCTTCCCCCACATCACATTTCAGTGCCTCTCAAAATCCTCACCCTGTGTCACCGCTGCCTGCCATTTCTGTGGGAGGCTTTGGATGATACTTTCCTCCTCCATCCTCAGTGACAGGCTGCCAGAAGGTGCAAGGGCCTGAGAACAGTTCCCCTCCAAGCAGCTTAACTGATCTCCCCAGAGGCTACTGCAAGAACAGCAGCTGTTTTAAACAACTCTGTTGAGTCACAAGGATGACAGAAGCCTCTTCCCTCAGAACAGGTTTTAAAATCTATTTAAACCAAAGGAACAAGGCAAGTTACCTGGAGAGGTACCTGATTTCCCTTCTGTAAAGGGATACAGGTGATTTCCAGGCAAAAATCCAACCCTCTCCTGACTTAACAGGCTCTGAATGGAAACCCCTCCTTACCTTACACACACCCCTGTAAGCAGAGCACACTGCGTTCCTTACAGCTAAAACCATTTGTTGTCTAGGTCTCCATTTTGCAATGCCTGTAAGCAGCAGACATCATGGCACAGAAGTTGTTCTATTCCATTTACAGTGTTCAGTTTGGTTTGAGAGAAGAAATCTGTTCAGCCTGAACCATTGCCCTGAGGTCCTGCTAAGCTCAGAGCAGTTGGTCGCAGCCATCCCCCTGCTACCCCTGAACCGCGCCAGACAGAGCCGAGGAACAGACCAAGGCGATAGGAAATCCTACGGCAAAGAGCAACCTTGCCGTTTCAGCACATGGCACGTCTGATCTCATTTCCTACCTCAAGTATTCTCTCCTCAACAACTCAAACATCATTATTTGGCCGTTATCCCAAAACATTGTGTCATTTTATATCCCAGTAGATCACGCACATAAGAAAGCGAAGGAGAAAAGGCGAAGGTCTAAGAGACAAGACTGCAGCCCGATCCCACATAACTGCAAGAGGCAAGTCTGTGGGAAGCTGAACTCCAGCTGCCAAGAACAGTCCTGCTTTGCAGGACGTGACAGAAACTCTCCTCAAGTCACTGGAAGCCTCCTGAGCCCTGTTTGAGAAGTCACTTATTGCAGCCTATTGCCATGATACCCAGAGCACTGAGCGCTGCACCGGTGCTCACAAAAAACTAGGGCCTAAAAAGGAAGAAGAGACGCTGTTTGCAATAGGAAAGCCTGAAAATGAAGAGCGCATACGCGTCCCACCTCTCGCAGGCAGACTGTCGAGGCAGAAGGAAATTACAGAACCTTTTGTACTAACTGTGGCAAAACCGCTTCCTCAGAAAAAGGAGAGAAAAAAAATGCTCTGCACAGCAAGATAAAGCCACAAGCTCCAATCATGTATAGTGCTGCCATCCTCACCCCCACACTGAGCACCTGCAGTTGTATCTCTCACTTAACCACCTGATGATAGCAAATCTACAGAGCTCTGCAAAACAGCTGATCAGTAGCTGAATAAGGAAGGAAGTAAACATGTACTGGCTAGCAGAGAAAGTCCCAAGTTTGATAACTATTAAGCCTGAAAATATGGAAGGAGTGGCAAAGTCCTGGAGGTTACGCTGAGGAACATTTTGTTAATGCACAGGGCAGTCTAGAACCGAGGACTTTATTCCCTTTATTTCAACAGACAAGTCATTTGACACACGGAGGTTTGCGTGTGAAACAGTGGAGATCACTGCTCGTTTCGCAGGCATGCTGCAAGGTAAAATTAGCATTTGCAAGACACTTGCAGATAACTGATGAAAGACTGCGGCACACCTGGCCTATTCACTGCAGAGAGCAGTGATCAGTTCCATGCTCAGCAGAGTCTGAATTAACAGATAGTGGTATCTTCCATTGCGGGAAGAAGGAGGTGCCCCTCTTCTACAACACTTTCCCCAAAAGGGCCACATGCAAGAAAAAGTAATTAGCCCCAAGACACTGGGGTTAAGTGCTCCCACCATTGCTGATGAAGACAGAAAGGAA